ATCTATGCTTAAATACGCTTAAATATGATGAAATTGAAATATACTAAAAGTGCCACTAATGAGCACTTTTATTTGCGACTTAGGTTGGAAAAAAAAGAGAGTTCGTCATAAAACACTTCGCTTTGCTTGTGTAAACAGTCTCACACACATAACACTTTTATTTGCGAATTAGGTCAGAAAAAATGAGGATCGTAATAATACACCAAGCTGATTGCTAGTGTAAATATGATAAATCACTCAAACTTTTGAAACGATTGTTTATGGTACCTGCTTTTGCGTGGAAGACAAAGAAAAACTAAAACACACACAAATATTAAGTGCTTCCCCACTTTCAGTAGTCGGAACAAAAAAAAATTATCTGCTCAGACTATTATGCATGGACACTGACAAAAATTGTTCAACTTTTTGAATCAAGACCGAAAGAGCTTTAAAAAGACTCAAATCAAACCATTCAATCTGATTTGAAGCTGATTTAATCGAAGAACAGAAGCGGTAAAAATTGAAATATCAATTTAAAAAAAAACACAATCAAACAAATTCTAGGAAATGGTGGGCTATGTACATTTCATGTTATTGGATTGAAAATCGCACAAAAAACTTAAAACATTGCCAACAGACACTTGGAAAGTTTCAATGAACGCATCCAAAAAGAACTCTTGAAAAAATCAGTTTTCGAATTTCGGGAAAAAAAGATGTTACGAAAGCTCTTTGAAAATCCGGAACCTTAATCATTGAGGCATATTTGAAAACTCAGCTTCCAGCAAAATTGATACTTGGTAATTTTTTCATTCCACTAGGATTCTTTGCTCCATTTCCACTTTCGCAATTAGATAGCGCTATTGGCAATTCTTTAATCAAATGAATTTAAATTGAAAGTCAAACCACGAAAAAAACATAAATATAGCGTGAAATTTTTTGAAGATTTTTTCCAGAAAAAAACATGGCGTAATTAAGTGTCATCACTACGTTCATTGACATTGACATTTAAGTCTGATATCTTCATAAAAGAATGTCCACTTCAAACTAAATTTTTCCACCATATTTTTAACTTATATGTTCTTATCTTAAAGAAGGCAAACTAAAAAGAAACTTTTAAAAATTTAACTATGAAACGCCCAACATATAAAAACAAACCGTGCAACAGAAATTAAATTGACTCAAATTGAGAACACACACGATGGTCTGAAAACGGAAACCTTCAGAAACACAATTGGCAGTGTTACATTTGTAATGCAACAAAATTTATCAAGCGGTTACTAAGCAGACAACACTCGGGTAGACGACCATTCAAAAGAAAAAAATTCATAAGACATTTGGAAAAAAAATTGAACATCTTACGTTCCCTAGTACGTCAGCTGGACAAAAAATACAAGCCGAGTAGCGAAAAAATTAACAAAAAACAACATCAACCAACTAAAGCGCAAACGCGATTGAAGTAACTGTTCGCTTCAAGTGACCTTTTTAAAGCAAAAAATCAATAAAACATCAGCCGAAACTATTCAAGCTCAGAAGCCTTTTAAAAAGGAAAAATAAAAAATAAAAAACAAAAAAATTATAACTGAGGCAAAGCGTAGCTTCGCAGCACTTACGATACAAGAAAAACACGCATAGCATTGCAAGCTTCCGAATCGAAAATCAAACCACTACACCAAGCAAAAAACTGACAAATATCAACCAAGCACTCCGTTTAATTTCAGGGACGGACAGTCGAAAAACACAACAGCAAAAAACAAAATGCCATTAACTAAGCAACCATTTAGCCAACGTTACTTACGAACAAGCCCGTAGCTCTTAAGAAATATAGCTGTCATGGAATACTTTGAATTCTTAAACTTTAAATCTCAATTTCCATTCCCCACCCCTCTTGAAGCCTACAAAAGCAAAACCATCTATTTTTGCTCATCAAATGTCGCATAAAATGATTAGGCCGATAAAAATTATCCGAAACCATTTCAGCGGAAAAAGTCACTTGCCCAAAATCAGAGTCGGTAAATTTACAAAACACAGAACGAATTTCAATTGTACTATAAACAGTTTTAATCATAAGAAAAATCAATGCTTTAGTTTCCTTGCCATTGATTTTTCTTCAGATTAAAAAACTTTATGCTACAATTGAAATTTATTCCACAAAAAGTAAGAAGACGAATAAAATTTCGACAACCCAAGTTTTCAATTAAAAAAATCAATTTCAATCATACATATTGAAGAATTCGTATTTCATTCATGATTGAAAAAAGTCCCACCAGGTTTCAAATTCTAGACCTTAGGATCCAGAAGCAAGTGCCTTACCGCTAGACGAAGTGCAAATGTGCCTGGAAGTTTTTCTGAGGCTCCATAATTTAGTTGCTACAAATTTGCACACAGCTGAGCTTCGTACCAATTTCGACGCAGCAAAAATTTAAGAAAATAAACCATCAAAGCATCGTTTTGTCGAAAAAAAAAATACTAAAATTGCAAAAAAGACCAAAAAAACTGGAACAAAAATACTTGCACATTACAAACAAACCGAAAACTTTAGCGTACATACAAACGAAAAACCAATTAAATATATAGGTTCATCAAAAATGAATTGAAAGTTACTAAAAAAGCACCAAGTAAATCAGCCGACAAATATTAGGAAGAAATCAATAAGCCGAAAAAAAATCAATTTTTATCAGAACGTTTTTTCAGTTGCAGACCCAGTTACTCCCTAAGTCCAAAAACAGTAATTCTAGACCCTGTTAAAAAAGAAACTTGGGTGAAACTGTAGACCTCTAAAACTCCAGATCGAGGAACAACGTTATTTACAAACTAGCACCCGATTGCAATACCATTGCTTATCGCAAGGACAAAGAAAACTAATTGAAGGAAAAAGTCTAGTTCTTGTTTAAAAAACAAGCCGCAAGCGAAAAATCACAGACAATAAATCAATAACAAGACTACTCGTATCAGGGCGAAGCCCTGAATGTTCCGACTGCCTTTTAAGGTTTATTGAGCAGCAGTAATACATAAAAAAATTAAATAAAATAAAATGAATTTTTTTTTTTATTTGAAATTTTTTATGAAAATCATCCCCCCACACGCCAAATAAAGTACAAAAAGATAGATTTCGTTCCTTGTAACAAATCAATTATGGTAAATAAGCTTCGTTCAACCAATTTGGAACGATTTATAAGACGGATTAAATCTCGCTTAGGCGTTAATAGCGCGGATTATATTGCGCGTTAATTGTCCCAAATTGGTCAAGATGGCAATCTTTTAACCCTCATAACTTTACGAAAAATGATCACAGGTGAAATATCTTTTCAAATTTAAGCCCAGGACAACAATATTTTTTGAATGATAAAAAAAAATTTCGTCAAAAATGGCTAGTTTAAAAGTCGAAATTTGTCTGAAGAAAAAAAAACCCACCCCGAGCACAAATATTCCGTTACTTTTGTATCGAAAGTCGGAACAATTACAGAAAACAATCAGAATGAACTTAGCTTTTGTTAGTGAGAGGGGACTGAGTTGATTTGTGAGCCATAAATTAGTTAATGAAAGCTTCTAACAAAGTTTAAAATCTTCGAAACATTAGATGGTGAATTGGATTCCGAATCACCGCTGAAAGGACTTTAATATGATACTAGATTTCAAGGCTACGGTTTTTTTTGGGAAGCCATACCTAGAAATGAGCGGGGAAAAACCTTCCCGTGATGGTCGATCCATTAGAATTGGATTCCGAATCACCGCTGAAAGGATACTAGATTTCAAGGCTACGGTTTTTTTTGGGAAGCCATACCTAGAAATGAGCGGGGAAAAACCTTCCCGTGATGGTCGATCCATTAGAATTGGATTCCGAATCACCGCTGAAAGGACTTTAATATGATACTAGATTTCAAGGCTACGGTTTTTTTTGGGAAGCCATACCTAGAAATGAGCGGGGAAAAACCTTCCCGTGATGGTCGAAACAACAATGAGTTTTCATTAACTATGATTAAATAACTGCTAATATCAGGTCGGAAACTGTATTTGAAAAAAAACGTTAGCCGCGATATTTCACGCTTTCCAGATACCATCTCCAACTTTCATTGGCTACGCAGAAAAAAATTGTTCAACAGGGCGCAGATATGAAAAAACATAGCCGACAGACTGTTGTACACGAGTCAATGAATGCTATTAAACAGAAAACAAAAATGTTCTGTTTTTTGAAAAAACTTCAACTTCCGAAGAAAAAATAGATGCCCTTATTACTCTTTGAATTTCTAAAACAATTTATCATTGCCCCTTTTTCAATAACATTAACCCAATTTGGCGCTCTTTATCACTTATCCCACCCCCACACATTTCAAGTTTTCCATTTACCCAATTGTTTAATGTGTTATTATGGCTGAACGCGTTATGTGTTACGAAGTAAGGTATGAAGAACAAATATTTCTTTACATTATGACAGGGTAAAATTGGTTTTTCAAAACTGAAATTCAAATGTGTGTGTGTGTGGGGGGGGGGGGGTTCAATTTGGAAAAGAGTTCAATTTGAGAAAACTAGATCAATAAGTAACATTTTTATTTCACTGAAAAATCTGAAAATTATATTCTACTTTCGAAACTTGTAGTCGGTCACTTTTTCTGTTCAATAATGGAAATTGCCTTGCTTTTAACAAAGGAAATTATCTAAATTTAAAAAGAAATCAAAAGTCGAACCGTGAAAGTAAATTTGAGCTTGAACAAAATTTATAACTTTCCTGAAAAAAAACCAAAAAAAAATCAACGCGACCTATATAAGAGTCTGAACTACGTTCATCGACTCTTAACAATGGGTAATAAACCAAATTAAACTTTTAATTGCAGGTCAACAATTAAATTTACCTAAATATATGCACTTTTTGCATCTAATATACAGCTACCACAATAAAGTCGTAAATTTCCTCACAAATGATGTTTGATCTAGCCATAAAAATTAAATCCCACAAGGTCCTCACGAAACAAATTGAAGTATCTCTAGTTCTATAGCCTTAAATTCAGCACTTCTTTAAAAATCTATGAATGGAGGGATCAATTTTCAAGGAAAGCGAATGCCTAATGGCAAGTCTCATTCAAATGAAGATAATGTAACATGATTAGTGCCGGCAAAATTAATTAACACTTAATGGTATGAATAATTTGTGCATGAGAATATCAATTTATTTACAGCAACTTCGAAGTAAGTATGATAATGGTACATATTCACTTATTTACAGAACTAGAACTTATGTACAGAATTTGAAGTACTACATTCAAAAACATGAAACTAGTTTATCTGAACAATAACTCAATAGCGAACCCGAAAGAAAATATTTCATCCAAATAAAAAATGTGCAACTTTTTTTTTTAATTTAGCTAACACTGAAAATAAAATCTGTTCGAAATTAGATGAAAACAGAATCGACTCATCGCACTAACCAAAAATATCATCTGAGCGGCATGAATCTTTGAAATTCAATGAATATAGCCGAAAATATAATAAAGTTGGCACACAAAGATAAATGAATCAATAGGAATAAGGATACCACACATTTTTTAGAGCTCACTTGAGAAGTCGAAATGTTCCAGACCATTCATGGCCTTTCCAGGACTCTGAGATCCATCTGAGGTCGGGTTATCTCCGTGCCCGTTCACTTCTTCCTTATCTTCGTTCATTCCATTCTCAGAGACCGGAAAAGGTGCTCTTTTTTCTATGACGTCATAAGACCTTGTTTGTTGAGCGCTTTCTGCGTCGTCTTCGTCTTCCTCCATAATTGCGTGACTATCATTGAACTGTGCCTTTTCTGGTCTGTAAGAAGGTACACTTCTGGAAGTCGAAGAACTGCTTCTACTCTTACCACCTCCCGGTGATGCCCCTTTCATTATCCTGTCAATGAGGAGCTTGACGTGTCGGAGCAGTTTCTCAGGTGAAGGGTACTTCTCCAGAGTAACAATCTGAGAATTGTCTTCGCGAGGGTCTTTGGACATTGTCGTTTTCAGCAGATGAGTAATAGCTGCATCTGCGTGCTCCTCCCATCCTTGGTCTGATGGATTTGAGAACAGAAGCTCGCTTGAGAATGCATTCTCAATAGTTTGCTGCTCTTCTGTGCTCAAGTTCTTGATCAATTTACACAGGAAAAAAAGTATTTTGGAAACTGAACTCAATTTGCAGCCAGACACCTTCAGTTGATCTTCCATTTCTTCTGCTGCTTCTCCCAGAGAATTCAGTTGTTTGTACGTTCCTTCTAACAGCGCGTCCATATTCATTAAACTATCTGCGTTCTTTTCTTTGAACTTTGCAAGCAGTCTTTTCTGGATTACTCTGAATTGAGTAGACCTTTGTACGACGAGTTCTGAAATGTTCGCCAAGTTGATTCGGATTTGGGAGTGCAATTCAACTGCATTGAGCAACTCTTGAATCGGTATCTGTCCCGAGTATCCTAGACTTTCCGTGCTCGCAGCACATGCTATTACAATTTCAAACTGACTCAAAGCTAGCCAAATTGCATCAAAGTCGTCAGATTGGAAACGGTATCTATTCGATTTGCTAGCAGTCAGAATAGTCACAACAGCACCAGAGAAGAATTGAAAAGCAATCGCATTATTATTTTCAGCGGCTGAGTGCTCCGGAAAGACGTTGCTAAACAGCTGCGCCACTGGCAATGGGGTTCTATTAAAATCCAGGGTCAATTTGTGTTCTTGCGTCTTCTTCGGTTCACAGACCGTGCAACACAAGTTGAATGGAAGTCTGAAACTAGTTTGTGATACTTTCGGTCTACCAGTTGAAGTTCTAAAGGAAGCAGATACAGGAACAGTTAAGTCTGAAGGTGTAGCATACTGCTCGACATAAAATGTAAACTCAACTTTTGTTTCATTCTTGCTACCACCAGCAGAGATAACTTGAATTTGCGACTTTGCAGCGGTAATTGGTGGTAAGGGCGACACAACTACTTCAATATCGTTGACAACTGCTTTTCCGGTGAGAGAAATTGAGACAGTAACCGATGGTACTGAAGATCCTCGCACGCGGGAATGTGAGTCAAGGGTATCAGGAACATGAGCTACTAAATCGATTTGATCCTGTGAATCATCCCTTTGTTCAACGCTTAACTGTTTTCCACTTATAGTCGATCGTACACCAGACAATTGCGACTGTAGCATTTCATAGTTTTCTGTAGTCCTCGAGTCTAGACGAGTCACATATGAAGTCAAATCTGGATCCGTTCCCAGATATCCGAGCATTACACGTCCCGCAGAACTAGCTGCCAAGATTAAATTTGAAATTCCATTGTACCCAAATGTTGTCACAAAACATGGCGTGAACGGCAGCTGGGATGTCCAATTTAGTTTCTGATCCTGCAGTACTAGCAAACTGGCGTTTGTTGTGGCAATCATGTAATTGACTGAGTCGTTAACGAGCGAGGAATAGGAGTGAAAACATATAGGCGTGCAATCCAATTTCTTGATAAATCGCAGAGTACCGGTGTCTGTGAAGCAGTAAATATTTCTGTCGCCTAAAGCTAGAATTGAAGGCTGGCAATTTTCATAATTGACTGAGCGCAAATCGCAAATATTTTCGCCACAATTGAACGTCCATTCTGGCTTCATAGCCTTAGCTGAAGAATCTGAGGTAAAATTTTGATACTGGTAAGACGATACTGTCTGAGATAGACTAGCCAAAACAAAGCTATCAGATGTATCCATGTAGAGAAAACTTGAAGGCAGAAGAAACTCGGGTACACTAGACGATAATCCTTTTGTTTCTTGCTCATATATTGTTAAGAACCCATCCAGTGACTGTACGCATATAAAATCTCGGTCCGAATTTCCCTTTCCAAATGGGCCACATACCATGTTGAAGGAATAACGCTCAAGAACATGCTCATACGCTGGTTCCAAAGAGACTTGGAAAGATTCAGAAACATTGAAGTTAATGAAGAGAATTTTGATAGATCGGGGACATAGCACACCTAACTGAACGTCTGAAGAGCTAGACACAAACCTCCCACATCTGATTTGATGTACTTCAGTTCCAATGGAGAATTCAGCAAGCTCATCATTCGGCTCAGCACGACCAGGACAGAAAATTTTTATATTTCCATTGATACTCGCACAAATCAAGCAGTTGGAAGAGTTTACAGCAAGAACTTGAAAACTAGAAGGAATGAAATCAAGCTGCTTTTCCGGGCGTTTACTCCAAACCTCTTTTAAATTGAACAAAGACATTGCAACATTACTGAAAAAAAAACATTTGGCGGCTTAGCGAATCAAAATCAAAATTAAGGTCGTAGAAGAAGAAGACTACGTACTATCGAAAGGTATTCCTAAGACTCGCAAGAGCAAATTTTCGATAGTACGCAAGAGAAGACTACGTACTATCGAAAGGTATTCCTAAGACTCGCACGAGCATCTCAATACCCGCACGCAGAAGAGAAACTGGAAAATCTTTTTAAGAGGTGATTCGTGCACGACACTGAAAAATTCGAGTAGTCAGATCTCAAGCATCATAAAACGCCGTCACGCAAAGTTCTGCCAGGACACCGGTTTAACTGGTTTACAGGAGTACACCCAGCACACTGTAAAAAAGTCCAACTTCACCGATGGAACAAACGATTGTCCCTCACCTTCCCAGAATACCCTCCAATGAGAGTCCAGACCGCTCTTCTACCAGAGAAAATGGATAGACGTTCGATATGAGACATCACAGCTATGATCTGTGGTCAAAATCATCTTCTGGAGTTCCAGCACCGAATTGCCAAAACGTATAGTCCCTTCTGCATTTGTGGTACACGCGAAAACGCCACGCATTTTCTGTTCAACTGCCTTTATTGCAGAAATTTGAGAGAAAAACACCATTTCAATTTCGAGGATATCACCGAAATGTACATCGAAGCCACTGATGAAGACTGGTGGAATCTTGCCACCTTCATATCATCTTCATCCAGACTGTAACAGAATATACTGGAGAACTCGCCAGATCAGAAAGAAGGAGAACGCATAAGACTCATAACTTTGCTAATCATTAGCCTGCAAAAAGAGGCATTTTTAGAATATATATGTAATAATAATAAGAGCAAATTTTCCTAATTCGTTCCATTGTAGCCGAAAATTGATCGAAAAATGACTCGACACCGGTAATGGTTGTCCAGGAATACAGGCCCAGGATACGTGACCAGACTATACGGCCTGTAATGGCTTGAACCGAACACGATACTCGTTTAGAAGTTTACTCAAACTAATTTTAATAAACTTATTATATAGTTTTTTCATATTAAACGTCGGGGCATTTTGGCCTCTAAAAGTCAACAGTGTTGCACCATGTGTTCCAAGTCAGTGGGGGAGAACTGGCTGATGTTCGCAAATTCAACTGGCTGACGCATAGCTCGTGTATGGGATACTCTCATGATATCTTCAAATTTCTGGAGAGGACCGCAAATGTAAAGTTTCTGTGCAATTGGTGCCTAAGTGCTGATATTCGTCCAAAATCTACTATGGATGTGTGCGAGCTGTCAGAAGGCATTGAGGACATCAGTGAGTCACAGGAGATCATAAAATCTCGGTCTACGTGCAATCCATCTCCTCCCCAACGGGAAGCTAAGTATTCTAGTGTCTCGAGAATGCGTTAAAATTGTAAATTCAAACAAACGTTTTCGCACATTTTGTGCATCTTCAGGTTTTAAAAATTCTAAACTATCTGTACAAAATGATCAAAGATCATAAAAAGTGTCACACACATCATTACTTCAAAATATTTAAAAAAAAACCAATCAAAACTTTACAAATATCACTGAAATTATGTAACAACTATTATGTAACATGTTAAAACATTTTGTCACAAGTTTCTGAGAGTTTTTGTTCATTTTTATTTTCAAATTTTCGTTTTGTGGCTAATTTTTATGCTAACATGTAAGTTGTTTCAAAATTTTGTTTGTTTTAGCCAGAATTTTTCGATTCTGGAACTATAGCCTTAGTGTCAGCTCCCTACTTCTAAACTCGTCGCGCGGGTTAATTGCCGGTCTCTCTTTCCTAATGTGCAGCGCCTCTAATGTAAATAACTTGATGCTGCTGGACGGCTGGTCGAATGTTTTCCAATTACACTCAGACTTACCACGCTCACTACCACACTGCCTTATATGCTGTCCAACTGGGGTATCCTCTTTTCGGTGTTCCTCAATCCTTGTGGTGAGATGTCGGACCGTCTGGCCAACATAGATAGATTTGCACCCACAACATTCAAGTCTGTACACCACTTTTGATTTCAGTTCACTGGAAAAGGAGGATTTTAGAGAGGGCATACAAGTTTTCAATTTTCTCGTCGTGAATATTATCAGCGCATTGGTGATATCGCGCACTTTTTTTGCTAATGTCTGACTGTGATTCCACCTATATTGGACCATCAAGATGGGTGGTGAATCACTGCTATAATCACAGGGCTTCTTTTTCTCAGCCATGTTTTTTTTGTTTTTGCCCTTGCTGATGATCTTTTCAAGGGCATGGGATGCAACCCGCGACGACCAACTTTCCGGATATTGGTTGGCGAACCACTGCTTACGGTTGATTTTCATGGCTTTATCATATTCTTCCCAGGTTGACGTACTGCGGAAAACCCGGTGAACAGTTCCTTCATTCACACTTCTCTTGTACTGAAGGGGGGCGCAGGTTCTAAAATTGAGTATGGTACCTGTATCTGTTGGTTTTTGATACCGCCCACAACTAATTTTCCTGCTTTTGTCAATACTAATTTGTAAATCCAAAAATGCCAAAGTTCCTTTTGTGTTTGGTGTCTCTACTGTGTACTGTAAATTTGGATATAAAAAGTTTGCAGCCCGTAGCACTTTTTCAGGATCACCCTTCACTGTTCTCACTATATCATCAACGTAACGGAAAAACAATTTAGATTGTTGCCCTGACTTATTTTTCTCCCTTATTGCGATGCATTTTCTGCAGTACCAGACGGTTTCACTTATATTGCGATACTCATCATCTGATATATCACCGCATTTTACGTGATACCAGTTCAAACAGCATTCACATTCTACACCTTTTGACCTGTACGTGACTTTCTTATTGCACTCGGGACATATTTCGTGAAGATCTTTCTCGGGCAAAAACATTTCGGATATATCCCTTGATAGTGCAGTTTTGTACTGCTGCATCCAAAGATTTGCTAAAATAACGGCAAGAGATGTCCCCATTGCCAAACCATCTTTCTGAACGTACCATGTTTCATTGCACTTGAAATGGACTTGACTAACTGCCATGTTCAACAGTCTCTTTATGGTTTTCCTAGCAATTGATGGTGGTTCATCTTGCTCATACAGTTTTCTCAGAGCTATGTCTATCGCTTCTTCCAGTGGAACATTTGTGTACAAACTCTTCACATCTAGAGATATCAAGTTTTCATTGGGCTCAAGATTAGTGCTCTCTAAGATTTCTCTCGCATCTAGTGAGTTGGTTTCGATGTTTGCGCCCTCAATTTTCTCGAAAAATTTAGCAAGAACTTTGTTCAAGTAATAATAAGAGCTACCAGGCAAGGAGAGGACCGGTCTTAATGGGGTATTCACTTTATGCACTTTCGCCAACCCATAAATCCTGGCGGGCTGCCCCCCAGTAGACCTCATCCTTGTGTAGAGACTCTCACTTATTTCATCTTTTTTCCTCATAGCCAACAACTCCTTATTGATGTCTCTTTCTATCTTCAAAACAATCGCATCATTTGTTCCTTTACTTTTGCTGAATTGATTTGAATCTAATGTATCCGACAACTTGTTCTCGTAGGTGTCCTTTCTCATTACACAAAAACCCACGTCTTTGTCATACGGTACCGCAACTAATCCATTACTCTTCAGATGCTTTCAGGCCTTCTCAACGCCTTTGTCAGATGGTGTTTGTTTCACCCTCTTAGCATAGGCTTTTGCCACAGCTTCGATCTCACAAAGGGCCTCCCCGGGGACTTTACGATTTTCGAGATCCGATAGAAAGATGTCAATGTCGGCGAGAAAGTAAGTCTCATTAAATTTATCCCTGACGGGATGCTTTGGCCCTAATGCCAACACTTTTTGTACCCAATTTGGTAATTCAACATCATCAAGGGCTCTTACCGAACCCTCACCTTGCTTCCCTAGAGGTCGGTCTTGCCTTTCTGATAGTTTCATTAGCTTCTTCTGATGGGTCTCTTTGACTGTTGCTGTTTGTCTTTGTCCCCTAGGACTTAAATATTTAATTACCGAAGGCCAAAACTTCTCATCTACACCCCTCTGTACGGCGCCTCTCGCCCTTTCTAGTTTGACTTCAACGTTTTTCTCATCTGTCCTTGCCTTGTTTATCTCCGTTCTTAGAAATTTTGTCTGAAAACTGTGTACCGCTTGGTTCGAAAACACACCATTTTCCGGTACCCTGAACCTCAAAAAATCAGGTATAATGTCGTTTTCTAGACAAACTCTCAAAAATTTAACACGTTGGTGACAATTGATAAATTTAACATATATGGACGCATAATCACGGACTAATTTCCAAATGAGTTTGTTTTTCAAAGTCCAAATCAAGAATGGAGGTGGGAGTTCAACTGTGCTCATTGGTTTGCAGGCCACGAGGAATAAACCTCACGTGACACAAAGCAACTCAAATAACACAAGTTTAACTCACCCTCTCCGTTGAAGCCTCCTCGTCAGTCCGACCAACAGTTGCTTCGCCTATGTTCACCAGTCTTCTTTTCTCCGCCCTCCTTCTCGATTGAGATTTCTTTTTCGTGTTTGAACGAAGCTTGGACAAGACAGCTGGCAGGTTGTCTTGGTGTTCAAACACAATCCTCAAAGACTTTGGCTCCAGCTGGACGTCCTGGTGCAGTGCCTGATAATCGTTGACCAGCTCCGTTCTTCTCTTCCTCTTTGAAATGAGACACTTTGTAATAGGAATGACAAGAATACCCGAGCTGATCAGCTGGTTCCTGATATCCGGTGTACCGTTTCTCTGACAGTATACAATTGCGCTGATATTTGTCAGTGTCTTCAGGATTTCTGTCAATTCCTCTGCAGTGCAAGCTCTGAAATTGTTTGTGCGGTGGCTGTTGATAGAATTATTGATGATGTCGTGCCACACCACCAATTGACGTTTTTCTGCTAGAGGTGCCCTGCAGAGTAGGCTTGCAAGGTTCTTCTGTGGGTTCGTGGTGTTCGGGTTTAAAGAAAGTCCCGGAATAGCCAAAATTTTGGGTAGAAATTGTTCTTTTTCCGGGTTGCTAAGTTGTTCCAGGCTGTGGTAGAGTGAGCTAGCTGCTACAATGTAGACCATTTCAATTCTAACATGGTAAAATATAAAAAGATTTTTCAACTAAAAAGATTTCTCCACTAAAACAAGGGAAAAAATAAATTTAAAATTACGTCTCCTTGTAGAAGAGACTGTAATTGAGAATTGGCTCAACGCCGTAGAGTTTCAAAATTTTACATCTAAATATTTTGAGAATGCGTTAAAATTGTAAATTCAAACAAGCATTTTCGCACATTTTGTGCATCCTCAGGTTTTAAAAATTCTAAACTATCTGTACAAAATGATCAAAGATCATAAAAAGTGTCACACACATCATTACTTCAAAATTTAAAAATTCAACCAATCAAAACTTTACAAATATCTCTGAAATTATGTAACAACTATTATGTAACATTTTAAAACATTTTGTCACACGTTTCTGTGAGTTTTTGTTCATTTTTATTTTCACATTTTCGTTTTGAGGCTAATTTTTATGCTAACATGTAAGTTTTTTCATAATTTTTTTTGTTTTAGCCAGAATTTTTCGATTCTGGAACTATAGCCTTAGTATTCTAGTGTCGTTAAATCATGTTCCGATATATCTCAAGCATTGCGATTTAGTGGTATACCGGAAATTAGCATGGGTACTGACAGCAAAATTGACAAATCGAGAATTTTAGAGCACGATGAAAAAATGATAAGTGATACAATGAAAATTCTTGGTGCAAATGCAGAGAAAATTTCCTCTTTCCGCAGACTCGGAAAATTCAACGCAACTAAAAAAGACCCAAACAAATTTTGGTGAAGTTTCGAAACTTGTTAAATAGTTTCAAATAACGTTATGCCTGGATCGTCAGCTACAACTCGAATACCATCGAAGCAGCAGGAGTGCTGCACCACATGTAACATGTCGAAAGGGGATGAATGGATCTTATGTGAGAGGTGTCAGAGATGGACACATAATTGGGATATTCGAAGGATGAGTTCAAGTTTTTGGAGAGGGCAAATGTGACCTTTACATGTAACAGCTGTCTACAGAGACCTCCAATTAATGCAATTGAAAGGAATTGAGCAGGGATATCACGGAGCTCAAAGAGAGTGTGGAAAGTACTCGGACTATGGTGGAGGAAGTTCTCTTATGTAGACGGCCCCAGCAAACCGTAGCCAAGTAAAGCGAGGTCGTTAAGGTTCAGTGGTAAACCTGAATATAAGGATGCGGAAAATGAAATTACAGAGAGGGTTGATCGTTTAAAACTTTTTGAGCATAATGAAAAATTGATACGAAGTGCTTTTGAAAATTTGGGATTAAACTCAATTGAATTTTCATCTTTTCGGCGACTCGGAAAATGCAAACTTGGGAAAACACGACACAGGCAGATCCTTGTACAATTTCGTGACGTTTTTACTGTATAAAAATTACTCGCACGCGCCCCCAACTTAAAAATGTACGAACCGGAGTATATGGGATACAAATACTCGATTTTTATTTCAAAATTTCAAAAAAAACAAGAGCAAACAAAAGAGCAATCATTTTTGAAAAAACGCAGAGAGCTAGTTAACGAAGGAACAGCGTACACTGATATCAAAATACGAAAAGGCATTTTATACTTGAAAAACAGGCCAGTTGACTTTTCCAACCGACTAAATGATTCAAAATTCGAAATTTCAGCTATGTTTTACAATATCCGGAGTTTGTTTAAATTATCAAGACGTCAAAAATTTTCAAAAATTTTGAATAGCATCCCATTTGATTTTGTTTGCAGAGACTTGACTAATAAATGAACAAACGGATTCAGAGCTGTTTTTACCAGAATACCAATGTTTTCGCTCTAATCGTAAATCGCCATTGAAAACTAAGCCCATGGTGGTTCCATGATATGCGTTAAGTCAAGCTATAACTCCGAACAAGCCTTTAGTTCTGCAGTTCTGCAGAACAAGCCTTTAGTTCTTCCGAAGTTTTGCAGTTACTTCTTACGTTAATTTCAATCAAAAGAAAATTTTGATTGTATGTTGCTATAACTCACCGGCAAATAGTGAATATGCGTATACAAGTGAAGAACCAGCAAGACTTTTCAATAATATAAATTAGCTGACAAAAAATTGCGATGATATTATCATTTACGGCGATTTCAGTTTTTCCACAATTAACTGGTGTAGCTTGCCTTCAAGAAAAATTTTTGGAGCGAAAATTTTTGAGCATAATCGAAGAAAACAACTTTCAACAAAAAATAGACTTTAATACACCAGCAAGCGGTATATTACATCTCATTTTGGTTAGTGATAACATAGAATGCGTAAATTTGAAGCAAATGACCAGCAACGAATGTCAAATCACCAAAATGAGAAATCACTACCCAATTTATCTTTGTTTTTTGGCTATAGGGCAGAACAATATAAAAAGATGTTGAGTAAAAAGTGGTTTGTATAGTTTTCGTAGTGGAGTTTATGAAAAATGAATGTGCTTTGTTTCAACAAATCCGTTCAATTCTTATTGCTGGTCGAACCCAAATTGCACCTTTGGCTGAATGTTTTTCTGAATGAAACTATACCAAAAAGAACCCAGCATCGAGCTTCTCTTCCACCATGGATAAGCCAGAGTACTTTTCATCTAATTAAATGTCTTAAGACAGCAAGAAGAACATATAAATATATGCATCCAAAGGTTCTGAAACTGAAATAAATGCTGGAAAAATGCTGTGGAAATGACAAGATAGAATATGAACAAAATCTAGCAGCCGAGAGATCAACTGGGAAGTTTTTTAAGTATTTCAGGGCCTTCAAAAAATCAAATATACGCAGCCTTGTTTTTTATAAAAGTAAAAAGCAGAAAATGACAGTGACAAAGCCCAACTATTTTCGAAGTTTTTGTTTTGCATCCGTTTACGTACGATCTTCTGAATTTTATGAGCCTTTTCAAGATTGTTCAGAGAATTGTTTTCTGAGCCACCTAAATTTCGAAGAAACTGAAATCGAAAGCATGTACGAAAACCTAAATGTCAACAAAAGTAAAGAGCCCGATGAACTACCACCAGTGCTTTTTCGGAAATGTTGAAAAACGAATTCATATTCACTTTTTCAAATCTTTACTAAAATTCTACAATTTTCTATCTTTCCAGACTTGTCGAAAAATGCAATAATCAGTCCAATTTTCTAAAAGGTTAATAAAGCAGACAAAGAAAATTATAGACCTGTTTCTATTTTATCTCTGCCGTCTAAATTTTTTTAAAAAAATTGTCTTCCTTCGACTATTTGATCATTACAATAAGATTTTTAACAAATCTCAATTCGGATTTCGAAAAAATCGGTTAAAAACTCAACAACTAATGACGTTTCTGAATGAAACATATAATGGAATCAAAAAGGGAGAAGAAATTTTTTTTACAGAATTTAGGAAAGCTTTCGACAGAGTTGAGCATGGAATTTTGTTACCAAAATTGTTTTCAACAGAGTCAGGGGTAAAATTTTAAAACTGATAAGTTTTACCTTACCAACAGGCACCAGATTGTTCGAATAAATGGCAAAGAGTCTTCAATAGAAAAAGTTACCAGTGGAGTGCCACAGGGTAGCATACTGGGTCCTTTATTTTTTCTGGTCTTTATTAACGACCTACCAGATTACTGTGTAAATCTTAAAACTAAGTTATTTGCAGACGATGCTAAATTCTTCAGTTCTGGTCAGGCACAAGAGCAAATCCAAAGTGACCTAAATAATGTGTTTAATTGGACCATCGACAATAATATGTCCTTCAATTTAGACAAATGTACGTATCTAAAATTAGAAAAAAAATGATTTTTACTTCAACGGATTCAAGATCAAAGAAATAGACGTACAAAAAGACCTCGATTGACAATATCAAGTGATTTAAACTGGAATATCCACATAGACAATGCATGCAGGAAAGCAAACCGTGTATTTTTTATGATAAAAGGGAATACAAACAATCTGAGTCGTACTGCAAAATTGAACCTTTATAAATCTATGGTAGTCCCAGTTTTAACATAGGCCAGCCCCTGCAATGGATTAAGCAAATATGTCACAAATGAACTTGAGACTATTCAAAAAAGAATCATCAAATAGATTTTTCCTGGAAAATTGGCATTCAAAGAAAAAATTGCTCAATTGCAAATTTTACCGCTTCCTATGTAAATACAGATAAATAATATCAGAGTCCTCTCGCGGTGTAATGTTTCAGCTGAAACGGCCTAAACGCCTGAAAGCTGAACAAAATTTCTTCTATCAAACTTGCAGACTGGTTATTACTTTAAAGATAAAGTTTGGTTGAAATTTGGAGAATATAATGAAGTTGACAATAGCACGTGGAAAATTGGGTGCGATTGTGCGGCGAACAACTGCCGCAGCAAGACGTACATATGACGATACAATGAACGGGGTAGGACCCCATGTTGAAACACCAAAGCCATCCTACAACTACTACTATTACGGCAGATAGATTATTTGCGCGTGCGGCCATGTTAAAAAATTACGAACCAAACATCAAAAGAAACAAGTAATCAGTTTTTCTATCAAAATCCTTGAAAAAAGAGGACCAAGAAAGCGAACGAAATTTCTTTAAGAAAAGGCGCGAGGTACTTGAAAGCGGAAACGAAGCAAAGGATAAAAAAACTGAAATAACATACTATTCCTGAAAAACCAAGCAGTAGATTGCACTGAATGACTACTAAACACAACTTGAGAATTAAGAGCACTATGCTGCAATGTAAGAAACTTATTAAAACTAGAAAGAAAAAAAACTTTTTTGAACAGTATAATTTTAAAGAAATTTTATTTGCCTGTCTGAAACATAGCTTACAAATGGAATCCGCGAACCCGAGATCTTTCCTGTAAATTACAACTGTTTTCTATCAAACACAAGATCTTCGCTGCAATCAATATCTCACGGTAGAACATTATTTGGCTATATTCAAGCTTAATGTCAGAACGTGCAAATTTTAGTTTTTATACCAACGGAGCGGCAGTTCCATGCTACATTAATCTTTATGAACGGAAATTGCCTCATTTTATCTATGAACAGAGTTGTGTCTTGTTATCTACCGCCTGCAAATAGAAAATATGCTCTGAAACTAAATGAAATACATAACCTGTTTAAAGACATCAATAAATTGCGGAAGAACTGTGATTTGTTTATTTCTGGTGACTTAAATTACCCCTCAATAAATTGGTGCAACATGCTATCAATTGAAGAAACCAAAATATCTTTTTTGGGAGAAATAGAATATCTTGAAGTTCATCAAAATGTTATGTTTAACACTGCCTCAACTGGTACTCTCGATTTGATCTTCACCAGCAATAAAATCCATGAAACAGATATTCAGACAGTAACGATAAATTGGGAAAACTTTCAAACCATTATCCGGTCGAAATCTCTTTCAACGTAGAGTTATCGGATCATTGAAAATTATAGACCAGTCTCCCTTCCTTTGTATAGTTTCAAAAATAATAGAGCGTATAAAATTTGGGAGATTGTATGAACATCTATCACCTATTTTTCAGAGTTCGAAAATCATATAGCATTCATTGTTGATAAATGCACCCACGTAAGCTTTACTAAAAGTTCAAACAAATTTTGCTTCAACGACACGGAAATTAAATTAGTGGACAGTCAGAAAAATCTAGGGGTTATAATTTCAAATGACATGTGCTGGAATCACCACATTGACAAAGCAAAGTTAAAAGTTAATAAATCTTTCTTCGGGATCAAAAGAATTATATTGAATTTAAACAGAGTAGCGAAACTGAATTTATTCAAATCCATGATAATCACGGTGATTCGTTACGCAAGTCCTTGCTTTGGTTTAAATAAGTACGTAATGTTCGAATTAGAGACGACTCAGCGAAGAGCAGTAAAATGGATTTGCGTTAGTAGTGTCCCATACAAAGAAAACTTGAAAGTACTAGGGATTCTTCTTTTGCCAATGTATGTTCAGCTAAACAACTTTCTGTTGCTTTCAAAATTGATTTTGGGACGTTTCGAGGCATTTAGTCTAGACATACTATAGTACACAGAGTTTTCGCGTGCCAATTTGTTTCAGCTGAGATGTCGTGGAAAGCCAGATGCAAACAAAATTTCATGTACCAAACCTGTCGACTTGCGAATGTGTTAAAAATCGATTTAAGAGAAGGTATTGGCTAGTAACCACGACTTCTAAAAATCGTCTGGTCAAAATTCGAGCAATACAAGGTGGGCGAAAAGTGCACTTGGAAATTAGCGTGCGATTGTACGACGAACAATTGCAGAAATAGAAGTGTTATATAAAACGAGAAACTGACGGAGTCAAAAGCCCTTGTGTGAATCACAAAATTCATATTACTACTTCTCACCACTAATAGTAACAAGAAAGCCGGAACCAGACTCCACGGCCTGTTTGTGGGACAACACAACGATGTAACATTCGCCCGAAAAGCACACAACGACTGAAAAAATTTAGATCCTATAACGACTGGCTAGCGTCAAGATAGAGCTCCACGTGTTTTTAACCGTCTCTACCAAAGCCAGTTCAAATGGTCCTCTGTAACATTTGACCAGGATGGCGCCAAAATGCCTGGCAATATCGAAACTTTATAAGGCAAGCCGAGTGAAAAAATTGGCAGTTTTGAGGATTTAACAGTGCTAACCGTGCAATTTGACGCTTTGGGAGAGGTTAATTTGAAATGACGAAGTAGTTTTTTAAAAACTCGTTTGAATTAGAGGCACGAAAACCAAAAACCGCGAAAATTAAAACAGACCGATTTTCGCTGAAAAACAGCACCATTGACTTTCGATAGTTAGAAAAAAACGCGAGCACTGTGTTGAAGTTACGATCGAGGCTGTCCGAATTGTAACAATTGTAACTGTACAATCGTTACCGAGAAGTTCACGAGATATCGGAAGGGTATCGGGAGGATTTTACCACCCTTTTAGAAAGATAATAAGACCGCTCTTTGTTAGGATTCTAGAATCCGAAAGGGTCTGGGGAAGAAACTGAAACTACATTTTAACAATTTTTAGCTTTCGGATATGTCCTGACTGAATCAAATAACATTAAAATTCGTTATCAGATAATGAGAAACTTGGAGTTGAGGGAAAGGGTTGATCCATCTCCGATGGATATGATGATTTTATCTACTGAACAAAAAGAATCATAATATGATAATAAGCAGTAGCCTTGCTTTTAGTAGTGACCTCGTTGTCTGGAGATACTGAGACACAGCCATGAGCTCACTATTTTCCATGTAACTAAGCTAATCTGCGCGTTCTGGCCGATAGCCCGAAAACAGTGATGACTTTGTCGACCCAATGTTGAAGGACCACACATAGAACTGGCTTTGGTGGAGACGGTTAAAAGCATATGAAGATGTGTTTAGACGCTAGCCAGTCGTTTCATAACCTAGCTTTATTTTTCGTCGATATGTACTTCCGGGCGAATGTTACATAATTGTTTATATGGCGCTAATGGGTGTCAATCTTTCAACATCATGATCGGCAGATCCATCAACAAGCACTCCGTGCCGAGCGGAGACTCAAAATAAGGCCCTTAACACAGGGCCGTAAGGGTGGCTCGGAAAGCGGAAGCCTTCCGGATTCCCGGGCCTTAGTTTTTTAACCTAATTAAGATAGAAAATTCACGTATCGTGAAGGGTGGGAGATCGGCCGTCCCTTCGTTCCCTGAGCGTTACATGACCAAAAATACTTGAAGATATGCAAGAAACCAAACAAAAATTAATGTAGTACCAAACAAAAAAGACAAAAACATAAAAAAGAGCCGAAAAAACAATAAAATTATAAAATCAGTACAAATCATCCCCCCAGACGAGATGTGATCCGACCCTACAGTTTGTTGTTATTAGATATTTTGTTGTTATAGGCGTTTATATCAAACAAAATTGTCATGATTAAAATTGGGGCCCGTTTTTGGTTTCTGTGCTGTAGGGTTTTTTGAGCACGTTAATGCTAATTTTCGCTCAATCCGGAAGGGTCTTGGTAAGAGAGCGGAAGACTAATCCGGCAAGCAGTGCAAGGAGCAACAGAAAGGGTCTCAGGGACAACAGCAATCGACTGTTAGGTATCGTTAACAAGTTTTGTATCACTTTTGGTACAGAAATTAAGAGATCAATCTGTGGTGGGCTCGACAGTGACTGTACTGTAGTGACCCTCCACCGAGTTGCGAATGTCGGAGTTAAGCTCCTTAATTCGGATGTTGATTACACCCGGAGGGGTATAATATTATTAGTATAACTATTTATACTGCCTGTGTTAATAATCCTATATCGTTTTTCTGTAAAAAAAAACATAACAAACAGACCGGTTTTTAGGGTCAAAATAGTGATATTTTGATCCCCCCACAAATCGCGATAGTTGAGATATCGACATTTTTTGAAACTGAAAAAAGCGCTCAATTGATGAGTTACTCCGTAACTGCACTATTAAAATTAGTGGAACCGGTGAAAATTAGTTCGAACGTGGTTGGAACTAATTGGGTGACGAAATCCGAAATTTCGTGATTTTTGAAAAACGAAACGTCATAAAATAGGGAAATTTTTAAAAATTTTTGAAATAGAGCGATAAAAATTGTTGTTCGGACAACATACACTAGTGAGTCGACAGGTTTTAGCACACGCTTGCCAATAGCCTTCCTGGCCCTGGTGAAATTGACCTTAACATGTTTGATTTAGTTGATTCATCAATCCGGAGGGGTCCAAATAGCATTGTTTTTGGCAAGTTTTTTCGGCTGAACTGTTTTAGACCGGGTTTTTGCCTCGAACTAGAAACGTATAGGCCTTTTGAGCTTGGATCGATAATTTTTAAGTCAATAAAACAAGAATTGCGAAAAAATTTAGACGGAAACTATAAGTTGAAAGCCGAGTTCGCATCAAAGACGGTTCGAATTATAAGTTTAGAATAATTGGACAGCTCCAATTCATCTTGGTACCACTAGACCAAAAACTAAGCAAGCCTAGTAACATTGTAATTGTTTTGGGAAAGAAGTAAGCATACAAAAACTTTCTAAATTGTTTTTAGCAAAAACTACCGATTTGTGAAGAAGACCCTTCACGTTTAGTAATTTTTTTTTGGAAAATTCTTATACCCCTACCATACGGTAGTAACGGTTGAATAAAGCAATTTTACGCTATTCTCGACAAAAAGGAATGGCTAGGGAACCCAGAAAAAAGTAGTCGAGTCAAAACTAGGCTAGTTATACGACCCTTCACAGTAAAGGAAAATTGTTAATCAAGCAGTTTAGCCTCAATCTGGAAGGGTCTAGGACCAAAATGCATCCTTCCTAGTTAGTTTACTTAGCAAAATAGGCTTTGAGACCGTATCCGGAAGGGTCTCGGGCATTGTTTTTAATCGATCCGGAAAGGCCTTTTTTGCCGATTAGGAGGGGTCCCAGTTCGGAGGGTTCCTATTTTTGTCAAACCAGAAAGGATCTCAATTCGGAGGGGGGCCCTATTTTTGTCAACCCGAGGAGTCTCAATTCCCAGGGGTCCTATTTTTGACAATTAGGAGGGGTTCCAATTCGGAGGGGTCCTATTTTTGTCAATCCGGAGGGCTCTTTTATAACGAACGCGATCGTTGAGATACTGAACATACGTAGACGAAAATAAGATAAATAGTGACTAGTATTAAGATATTAGGAATCAGGCAGGAGACTGGTGACTGCACTGGTAATTTGCCTATAAAAAATTGAAAAGAGCATAGTGAAATAAAAACAGGTCTAAACCCGGATTTTCGCGGC